CATATATAATATTAGACTTTTAATGTTACATATAGTATAATGGTGTATTTTATACTTTTAAAATACTAGGTGGTCTAATTTAATAAATTATACCTTTAATTTAGTTAAATGTAAACCAAACTTTATGGATTTATTAACTCTATTTTAATTATACACTTTAATTAATTAACAAACCATAAGGGTGTAATTTGAACTTTTCAAAATACTAGGGTTTTAGAATTTAATATTTCAAAATTTAACTTTTAATCAAATTTTAAATTCCAAGACTTGAGGGGAAGTTTTGAAACTTTTCAAAACACATATGATCAAATTGCAAATAATTTTAAAAAAAAATTAAAAAATTATTTTATGATTATCTAATTTGATATTTGATTTTATTATTCACAAGATAATTCAAATCTAAATTACAAATAATCAATCTTTATCTAATAAAACAAATGATTATCTCAATTTTGACAATTATCTTCTATTATGGTAAGGATAAACACCCAAAATCAATAAAAATCAGATTTTATCAATTAAAAATGTTTTTGGTAATCATCCTAAGCCAATACAGCAAGAAAATCGTGAAAATCAGTTGACAGACTCACTGACTCGTCGAGTCTGCACTGGACTCATCGAGTACCCAGTGGACTCGACGAGTTCAGTCATGGACTCGGCGAGTCCAGCCCTAAAAACTCAAAATTTTCGATTTTCAGTTAATATTCAATCAAATAAGCATCAAATTCATCAACAAACAACCCTAATCTTTGATACCACTGATGGGATTTAAGCACTACATCATTCTGTGGTGTACATGCAAACCCTAATAGCTTTGGATCTAGTTTGTCTAATGAACATGAAATTGAATATCCAAAGCTATAAACCCTAGATCTAATAAACTAAAACTGAAATTAGGGTTTAGATCTTACCTTTGATTGTTATGTAGCAACAACAATCAATTCCTCCCTTGTAATTGGCTTTAAAAAGCTTAGTGTCTCAAGTGTTGCACCTCTAATGGAGTCACAAACACCACTAAGCAACTAGATGAAGAAGAAAGAGAATGATAGCCCCAAAAACGTCCAGGAAACCCTTCCTTAGTGTTCACCACGTTTTTGGGTCTCAAGGGGTCTTTATATAGGTAGGAAATTAGGGTTATCTAACAAGGAAACCCTAATTTGACTGCTTAAGCCCTAAGCAGCCAATGGACTCCATCTTAAGAAGCCTTGGACGAATTCTTATGGGCTTCCCTATAGAATTCGTCCACTCTACCTTCTATGGAGTCCATTAGCCCATCTATGTAATTATCTTATAATTACACAATCAGTCCCCTAAGTTTAATTAATCTCTTTTAGCCACAAAATTAATTCTTAAACAATATGATTTCTCCTTTAATATATTATTCTCATAATATATTAATAAATCATAATTAATCCTTTCTCTCCTTAATTCATCCTACAAATTGCTATGGTGAAGGCAACCCAAAATGACCATGCTCATAATCGGGTCAAGTACATACCAAGATAGTTATGGACTTAGACACTAATCCAACAATACTAAAGTCGTCAAAAGATATCAAAGTAAGCTAGAAGATAGAAGTATAATGCTTGTCCATCTAGGGACTGAAATGGGCAACAAAGCATATAGGTTGCTTGACTTTGAAGCTACAAAAAATTATACTAAGAGATGTAGTATTTGAAGAAGATCGAGCATGGAATTAGGAGGAATCAAGCAAGTTTGATGCTACAGGTACATTTGAAAATATTAATGATCGACCTAACTATGATGATCAGGAGATTCTATCTCATATCACACAACCAAGTCACAATGAATCTAGTGACTCGTCATACACGTTATCACTAGAAGAGTCAAATATGAGAGATGAAGCTCCTATACGACTAAGATCACTCGATGATATATATGCCGATTATGAAGCAATGTTACTATTTCATGACGGTGAACGCGAGTTACTCGCCACAGATCAACAAGGTGAAATTTTGTTAAAAGAAATGAAAAGTGAAAGTGAAGCAATTGAGAAAAATAAAACATGGAAGCTTGTCAACTTGCCGCCAGGAAACCATAGGTATAAAATGGGTCTACAGAGTAAAATGAAATCCCGAAGGGAATTTAGTGAAACACAAGGTGAGACTTGTGGCAAAAGGGTATGTGCAAAAACCTGGTGTAGACTACAATGAAATGTTAACACCCGTTGCTCAAATTGAAACAATACAAATTTTACTTGTTCTTGCTAGGGAAATTTTGCTAGAAAATACACCATCTTGATGCTAAATCGAGCTTTCTTGAACGGTGTCCTTGATGAAGAAGTTTTCGTTTCACAATCTGAAGGATTCGTGAATAAGCAAGAACCCCAGAAAGTATATAAGTTGTCAAAAACTCTTTATGGTCTTCGACAAGCGCCAAGAGCAAGGAACTATCGACTTGAAAAATGCTTGAAAAATCTTGGTTTTGTCAAATGCCCTCAAGAACATACGGTTTATTCATGGAAGAGAATTTTGAATTGATTAATAATTGGTGTATATGTTGACGACTTAATTGTTACAGGTAGCTTGGAAGATGTCATCAAGAGTTTCAAAGACCAAATAAACCATGAATTTGAGATGAGTGATCCGGGAATGCTTGCTTACTACCTCAGTTTGGAAGTGACTCAAAAGGAAGGTGAACTTTGCTTAATACAAAAGGCTTATGCAAAAAGGCTTCTCAAAAAGTTTCGGATGAATAACTATAATTCTTTCAAATATCCCATGGAAGCAAAGTTGGAATTGAAGAAAGATGAGAAAGGGGAGTTAGTAAATCCAACTGATTATAGAAGCCTTGTGGGTGCATTGAGGTATCTCACACATTCTCGATATTTCCTTTTCAGTGGGAATGGTAAGTAGATTTATGGGAAAACGCACAAGTATGCACATGCAAGCTGTAAAACACATACTAAGGGTCTGTTTGATAAGTCTTCTAACTAGGTCCAAAGTTAGCATCGGGTCCTCAATCCCCAATCAGCTTGTTTCTTTTGCCTTTTGCATCATTGGACTCGGTCCAAATCAGGGACTCAGTCCCCAATTTTATGATGATTCGGTCCTCCAATAAAACGAAGCTGACTCGGTCCTTCTTTTACCTTTCATTTATTTTCCCTTCACCTTTATTACAAAATAGAATTCACGCCTTCACTTCTTCCTCCTGTCTAAAACAACAGGAATGATATCCACCATCTCTCTTTCCCCTAAGGGTGGCAAATCGTGCTATCGTTTCGTGTTTCTATATGACACGGCACGACACGACAAGGTTTTTGGTAACACGAACACGACACGACACGATGTCTTGTTTTTTTTAACTAACACGAAAACGAACGAATTAAAAAACGACAAACACGACACGACACGGAAAATATAACATATACTAAAAACTAGTTTATTTAATGAATACTTTATGAAATATAACACGATAAACACGACAAACACGATAAAGAACTGCTAAATTGTGTCAATTTCGTGTCGAATTTTAAACACGAACACGACACGACACGACACGACATCGTGTTTTTTACAGCTAACACGAACACGACACGAACACGAATTCAAATTTTAGTTTCGTCCCAATTTCGTTTCGTGTCGTGTATTTTTATCGTGTAGTGTCATAAATTGCCACCCCTACCTTCCCCCGCTCATGCATTCTCTCTTCGTCTCTGCTCGGTATGGAAATATAGATTAAAGTGCGAGGGGAGAGCTCTGAATTCATCGCCATCAACTGATTGTTGTCGTATTTGTGGCCTCCTTGCAATCGGAATTAAGGTTTCTCAATCCAATATAATGGTACTCCCAAGTCCTCTCTTTGATTCTTGTGTTCTTTGACACTTTAAAAGAGCTTCAATTAGTGATTTTTGGAACTTGGTATGTTATCAGGTATTGAATGAGCACTTTCTGCTTCTTCTACTCACTGATGTTCATAGAATGTATATTCGTGAATACCCTGCTGCTCATTACACTTAAACAGAGGTAAAATCTCATCCTTTTCTTTATTTATATTATGTCTTTGGATTCTTCGATTTTTGTTATGTCATATGTCATATGTGTCTGCTCATGATTCTCGGATTCAATTCGCATTTAGAAGCAAGTTTTACCTGTTTCTTGCTTATTTACGTAGAAAAACTTCGAAAGGTTATTTTGTTTATATAAATAATTCTTACTTATTTACCTTCAAATTTTGAGTATGTTGCTTGCTAATTTCAATCAATTTCGATTATGGTTCTGTTTAGTTTGAAGATTGGTTGATTTTATGATATTTTTACACACCTTTCTTTCATGTAAACTGAATCACTTTCTTTGATATGAGATTCATGGCTGCAACCACAGCAGCATGTCAACGAATATGGATATACTGTATGATCCATGCTGTAACTGGAGTCCTATCTGCCCGGTTGTCCTTCACGTTGATAACAAGTCAGCTCTCGAATTGATGAAAACCCAATGTTCCATTGGAGAAGTAAGCACATAGATGCTTGATATCACTTAATTCGAGAGTGTGTTCAAAGAGGTGACATAGTCGTTTCACATGTTAGCACCCTTAAGCAACGAGCTGACAAACTCACCAAGTTGTTAGGCAGGATAAAGTTTGAAGACATGCGTATGAAAATAGGAGTGAAGGAAATTCTAAATTACGGTGGAGAATGTTGGTTTAATTCAGGAAAAAGGGTTCAGGGGCATTTTTGGAAACTTGCCTTTTTTTTTTTTTAAAGTTTTAGAGTATGACTGAAATACTATTTTATTTAGTAATATATATAGATGTAATCGCCTAATCGGGGCTTTGTGAATTCAATTCAGAACTAAGCTTTTTCCAGCATAATACTTTGGCAACAAGTAATATTTGTTTTTGCTATTTCCTTTTTCATGTTCCTCTATTTTCGTCCCTCTTTCCTCTCCCCTGTTTCTGCTGTTTTTCCTTGGTGCACAAGATGCAGGTACAGCTGCAAATCTCTCTGATTACACAAACATGATTTGTTAATTTTAATGGGCATCATCACATAGTCTTTTACAAACATAATTACAAAACCAAATTCAATCAAAAACCCCAAACAAAGACCGGTGAGATCTATCTTATATATAGCTTGCATAGCTTACATTTTGTAGCGCCAAATCTCATATAAAGCAAATTAGAACTTTACAAGCCACCAAGATTTTTTTTGGCCATTCTGCTAAATTCGTTGTCTGGATTTCTTCTCATAAAAGCATTCGAAGCCTATATATATGTATAATTTCGTTAATGTACAAGCACAAGATCCAAGAAATTAGCAACACACATAATCAGCTCTAATACTATCATGTCATCCAGTGATCACTAACTAATCAGCATGAGCATTAAAATCCGGCTCTGGAGGCTTTTGCAATTTCATCATTTCCCTTGCAATCTTAAGGTTCCGGTTTCTGTAGACTCCAAGAATCACCTTGGCAGCAAATGTCAAGGCCAAAAACGTAGCTCCGACACTGGAGGAAGTTCCACCGACACCACCTCCATTGATGCATGTGTTCAATTCAGCTTCTTCCTCCATCCTTCGCTGCTTCAAAACCTTCCTCTTGGAATATCTCTGCCAGGCTGTTTGAATAAAGAACGCCGACCATGTCCTCCACCGCTTAGAGTAAAATCGAAAAGTGTGTTGTAGCTGTTTCTGGGGAATCCCAAAGTGATGGACAATAAATTTCAACTCGTTAGCTGGTAATGCAAATGCCTCTATCTCACTTAACGCCTTCAAGGTTCTAGTGGAAGATGGGAAGTTAGCACCGGATTTAGGGTCAATTGCCCAGGTAAGAAGCTCCTCGGAAGTGAAGTCACCATCTCCTAGATAACCATTGTTGAAGACACTGCTTTTCTCTTTGTATGTGGTTGTACTCTCAAGATGACCACGTATGATGAAGAGCATTTTATCGACAGGATCTCCTTCTTGGATGATGTAAGTATTATCAGTGTATAATCTCGGCTTCAGTCGTTGACAAATGTCGTGGAGTTGCGTCTCATTCATGTCCTTGAACAAGGGAACCTGCGATAATTGTAACATTTTTTTTACTATTGACCAAATATCGACTACATTTTTGGGACCAGATTAAACATATAAAGACAAGATCTTATTCTACTCGATTGTTTATGATAAGAAATGCATGCTTCGAAGTAGTGAGTATGTGAATATAACTGTGATAAATTGAATGTCAATAGATGTTATAAGTATGTTTGTTACATAGGTCAAGCTTTCAAAGGCTATTTTTGAGATCAAGAATGATCCCCATCTCACCTTTATTGTCACGGTTTGCTTCTAATGGAGCCTCAAAAAGAAAGGACGGACTATTATTTATGGATCAACTATGATAAGTTGATAACTCATGTCAAACATTAAAAAAGTGTGAATATCCAAAATAAAAATTAGTGAATTACCCTCTTGACCAAGTCAACACAAATATGTCGCTTTAGGTCTTTTCTTGGATCCTTTGGCAGATTATCGACCAAATTCTCCTCTTCCACTCCATGAGTTTCCAACCACTTGTACTGATCCTGGTGTCTCCAATGTTCTCGGAGATCAACCTAGAATACATTAAACATAAATCTAAGAATTGTCCAATCAATAGAAAATAAGTTTTAGCAAATGTCAGTTTGCTTTATCAGAGATTTCAATTTAAATCAACAACTTTCTACTTTCTATTGTTAAAATTACTAAGGAGTTGTTACATCCTATACTACATCCTATACAAGTGTAATTTGAGGTTGTAAAGGCTCAAAAATACTGCAATATACTTATCAATTAAACTGATCAAACCAAACGAACCTTTTCTTGTTTGAGCTTTTCAAAACCGGGCTGGTATGTGGGTGTTGATACTGAAGCAGTTGAGAGCTGTTAACAGGAGTTACAATTAGATTTATTTATATAGCAAACTGAACAAGATATTTGATAATATAGACGTGACACTTTGAAACATACATAGAATGTATAGACAAATATATTGAGACGATTATTAGACAAATGAATTAATGGAATGATTAAAAAAAGAAGCAACTTACTTGATATTCAAGGGCAGTCTCAAGTTCTGCCACAACCTGCTTCATTAATGGACGTTTTTCATTGTCACACTTCAAACATCGATAAGCAATTGTTGAAAACACCTTCAAAGAACTAGGATGTATTTCATCTTTTATATTGCCCCATACAATTTCATTGAGGTTGTTCCGTTTGTAATGCTTTCGGACCAATTGAGTAAAGGATCCATTATTTCCAAAGCACAATCTCCCACACAATACTTCAAACAAAACCACACCAAAGGAGTAGACATCGGACTCCTTTGTTAGTAATCCAGTCTCTAAATATAGAGGATCACAATAGCCAATGGTGCCTACAGTATTATTGGTCACAAGAAATGTGTATTTTTGGTTAGCAGGACCAAATCTGGATAGACCTAAATCTGCAATTCTGGCGTTCCAATTTTCATCTAATAGGATGTTTGAACTTTTAATATCACGATGTAATACTCTTTGTTGGGTCTCAACAGGATCATGAAGATATGCTAGTCCACGAGCTGCCCCGATGCAAACCGTAAGGCGCCAAACCCACGTTAGATCCTTGTTGTCGAGATGCAAGTCTAGACTTCTGTTGGATGCATACTCGTACACGAGAATTTTCTCGCCTTTTTCATCACAAAACCCTATGAGGGAGACAATATTTTGATGCCTATAAACTGAAAGCATAATGAGCTCCTTCCAAAACTCAGAGTCACCTTGCCCAAAAGCACGATCTAAACGTTTTATAGCTACCATGCTATGCCCCTTCGAATGGAGGAGTTCTCCCTTGTAGACTTTCCCAAATCCTCCTCTTCCGATGCAGCTTTCTTTAGCAAAGTTATTAGTTGCTGATTTTATAACTTCTAGTCGTATTCTGAGGTGCTCAAAATGTTTTAGAACAGACATGGTTTTGATGATCTATCAAATATAGAATACAAAGACCAAGATTTGCAATTAAGAAAATTCGAAAGGGGTAGGCATTGCGAGGGAAAAACAAAGGTAGAAGTGAGGGCGAAATAAAAGGAGGAGGAGAGAGGTTTACATGTGGGAGAAAAAAATCAAATCATTTCCAAATGTTTTCATCAAGTTGTTAACTTTTAATCCTTTATAAAGTATAAAGATTTTATTTTCTAAAGATTGTAATATTGAAATACTCATGACAAGAGTTTTTTCAAAGTTATAAATAACCCGATGCGTGATATAACGACAATGCCAAACTTCAAGTTTGTAAGCTGTGATAAGCCACAACGTTTATTAAGGCATGACTTATATTGGTAATTTTGTATATAATTAATAATTCTATTTATATTTTTAATATTATTCATTTTTATATACATATATGACTGGATGCAATATTTTGTTAAGGCGTGGCGTCAAATACTAACCTTAGACCATGATGTGTTATGAAAAAGGTATGATGAGTTTTTTAGAACTAAGACTTTTTATGGGTTTTTTTATAAGTTTTTTCAAGCCAAAAAAAAAACACTTGAAATAATTTTAAAGAAAAAAAAAAGATAAAGGTTATTCAATTTTTTTATTTAAAAATTACTTATGTGGCCATGTTTGCATGACTTCATGGCATGATACATAACATCATATTTATAGTTGGATTTATAGTTGTGGATGTGTGAGAAAATCGACCTAAAAACCCTCGTTATGAAATTCTCTCTTCGAAAAAATGGTTTTGTAATAATTGTGTTTCTAAGATATGTTTTTAACAAATTATAATTGATAACTCGTAGAAACGATTCATAAAAGGCTAAAAATTATTCAATTGTAGAGATATAGTAATAAGGTTTTACATTTGAAGTTTTTTCATGCCAAAAACTAATATAAAATCATCATGTTTGTTGCTCTAATGTTAAAATATAAGGGATCGATACTCTAAATTAAAATTCAAATCTAATTTTTGACATTTTGTGGTAATTATAATTTAGTAAGTTTATAATTCAAATTTCATTAAGCTTACTTATTTTTGGACAGAAATGTATCTCACATTTAACAAAATAAATTTTCAATTATCATTTATCTTGCATATACACACAAACATTTTTACCTGTTTATTGATTTGACAGATAGGCCCTAACACTATCTACTAGAGGTTTTTTAAAAAAAGTTTTTGCTATTAAAAAACCTTTTGAAAATGTTTTTTGCGTTGGAAGAAACTCACTTGTGAAAATCATTTCTTTTATGCAAATCAAGTTTTTTAAGTAAAAGATAAATAATTTTCATTATTTCTACTTATTTTTCTTTAATTCTCATTGCAGATGATTATCACATTTTTATCGATTCACTTGCTAAAAAAGGCTGGAAATACATTAATTAATATTTTTCAAATTATAACAATAAAAACAATCAAAAAGTAGAAAGGTATGCACTACAAGAATTTAGGGCAATAGGGTCGACAAAGTCACTCTTAATACATTTCAAATTCGTCCTAGTGTTTGAGACAAGTCATGTAATGTTTTATCATTAATATTTCAATGTCGCCACTGATATATCTGCAATTGATGTGACCCTACTGATGTCACCCACATTTCTAGTTATTTGCTAAGTCATCAAATATTATTTTCTCAGCACCCAAAAGGTATAAAAAACACATAAACAACATCAAAAAAACTTAGAAAAAACATTAACATAAAAAAAATTGTACAAAAATGACTAATGTTAAAGTTATTTGTCATAAATGTCTACAAAACATATAGTAAAACATAAAACTACTTGGCAGTGGCATTATCAGCGCCCCTCTCGATGTTGTTCCCCCATTAATGCCCATGCTATTATTTTGGATATAGAATAATCAATTATGAGAAATTAAATATCCTCATGTATCACCATTTCACATGGGTAGAAATATAAGTAGGAAGAAAATGTAAGTAGGAGTATATTTAATTTCTCAATCAATTATTGTCCTCAGGTCTCGCTTATACATTACATTATTAAGAAAAGCATCAAGAAAATTTATCTACCAAATAAACAAAATGTACCAAACTACCGAAGTATCAACATATATAAACAAATGTATCAAACTATGAAAATATCAACATAAACCAAACTATCAATTACCAAAATACCAAACCATCTTATAACAAATATTCAAATATAAATCAAAAATTCCAAACTAGCATGCATTCATCGATGCTTAAATAAAATTTTGAAATTAAAAAAGCTAGTTTTGTTAAATCAGTATATTAACTAATTTACATGTGTATGGTGTGTTGCTTGTGATTGCCTCTCATAGTAACAACTTGAACTCGAGGCGCTAAAAGGTTTATGCCTAATGCATTTTACATGTCTCGTCAAAGACCCATTACCATTTCAAAGACAACTCACTCATCCATACGAATATCAAGAAGTCTCGTGACATACCGATTCCATATGGTGATATTTGATAATGTGCCCCCCAACATAGGCCAGGAGTAGAGCCCTCGGGCTGGAGGACCCTTCATCTGGCTTGGCTAGGCCTAGCATGGCCGCTCCAGCAGGACTCCATCCCCTCAAGCATTCCCTTAGGGTGGGACGTCCGCACAAAATGTTCAGATCCGCCAAGGACACCTTACGCTACACGACAAGCATAACAACTCCATGCAACAAGGAGTATGCTTAGAGCATTATCGCTTGAACCAATCATTATCCCTAACAGAGTTAGAGACATGACTAATTAATCAGGATAACGGATCTTGCCAGAGCTACAGTCCCTGTCCCTCGTACCACTAGTACAAAAATGATTTACGGTAACGCTTTTCGAAAAACAGTCTGCCACATTTTTTATTAAAAGTCTGGCCAAAGGTCATTAAAAAAATTTACAAACTATTTTGGGATACATTTAAATTAGTTTTTGTGGCCATTGTATAGATAATCAAAACTTTAACCACATTTTATTATACCAAATGTGACAAATATTAGTCACACTCGAACATTGAGGCCATAGGTCACAATCAGCCACAGGTATCGATTAAGATTGTAATACTTTTTTTTATCAAAGATAGTAGATAAACGTATTGTGACTTGAGGCAGTTGTATGTGTGTCTATTACCTGGTGCCTTTCAAGACACATAACATTCAAAGTAGCTAAAATGTGATACATATGGTCAAACTAAATATTTGTGTGTCCATAGGGCGGTTTTGTACTAGTTGTACTTAGTTAACGCAAGAAAAGAAAACAAATTAGTATTGGTTGTTTATGGTTATGTACCTTTTATTATGTGTGTCAAAATATGATGAATTGACTTTGAGAAGAAACAAATATTATGAGTGTAGGTAGGATTTAGTTATGATGTGAAAAAGTAAACAATACTAATGATAAAATAAAAATAAAAACATTTGGCTATAAGTAATTTATGGTCACGAATTAATAAAAAAAAGCGTACGATTAAAAGTGTTTTATAGTGACAGTTTAAGTTTTTACATGCGTCTAAAAGTAAACAATGGTCATACTAAAACAAAAAAAAATATGTGACTATTAGTAGTTTATGGTCACAGTTTAATTGTTTGTGTGTGTCAAAAAGTAAACAATACTAAGAATAAAAAGAAAAAATGTGACTATAAATAATTTATGGTCACGGTTTAAGGGAAAAACCTTGGACTATAAGTAATTTATGGTGATCATTTAAGTTTTTTGTGTGTCAAAGTCAAAATAATGGTAAAACAAAATAACATATAATTGTTAGTAGTTGAAAGTCACATTTTAATGGCTTATGTGTGTCAAAAAATAAACAATGCTAATAATAAAAGAAAAAAAATATACGACTATAAGTAATTTATGATCATGGTTCAGTAAAAAAAAATTGTATATAACTATTTTATAGTGACGTTTAAGTTTGTATGTACGCGTAAAAGTAAACAATGGTCATACTAAAACAAAAAAATATGTGAGTATTAGTAGTTTATGGTCACAGTTTAATTGTTTGTGTATCAACAAGTAAACAATACTAAGAATAAAAACAAAAAAATGTGACTATAAATAATTTATGGTCACGGTTTAAGGGAAAACCCTTGGACTATAAGTAATTTATGGTGATGATTTAAGTTTTTCTGTGTGTCAAAGTCAAAATAATGGTAAAACAAAATAACACATAATTGTTAGTTGTTGAAAGTCACATTTTAATGGCTTATGTGTGTCAAAAAAATAAACAATGCTAATAATAAAAGAAAAAAAATATACAATTATAAGTAATTTATGATCATGGTTCAATAAAAAAAATTGTATATAACTATTTCATAGTGACATTTAAGTTTGTATGTACGTGTAAAAGTAAACAATGGTCATACTAATACTAAAAACATATTGTTGTTAATAGTTTATGGTCACATTTAATTATTATTTGTGTCAAAAAGAAAAAAAAATACTAATGATAAAAGAAAAAACCATGTAACTATCAGTAATATTCAAATGTTACATTTTTATAAAACTCTCTCTCTCTCTCTCTCTCTCTTTATATATATATATATATATATATATATATATATATATATATATACTAATATTCAAACTAAATCACATCCAATATTTCATTATACAAAAAAATATTGTAGATACAAAGAAAGACAAGTCATTACACAAAAATTATAATATAATATACAAAGTAGTGTAAACGTGGTGACATAATAACACTTCATTTTTTTTTTCGCAACCACTTTAGGTTGTGGTGGTGTATCGGCGGTTTTAGGTAGTGCAGAAGCAGTCAGAAGTGGTGGAGCAGCAGTCAGAGTATCTTGATGATAGCTTGCTTGTGGTGTCTACAAACTATGAAAGTGAATAAATATACATAACAAATAAGAACAATAAAGACTTTCAGAAAACAATGAGCAATTGAAATATAAGACAAGAGGTCTAACCCATCAGTTACGCACTCATAAAATCTTAAAGTTGGGACGTGGTATAGGTCGCCACACAAACACTGGTG